AAGCCATTTTAGTGAAAAAATCAATGAAAAACCAAAAACTACTTTTTTCAGGAATGAAGTTTCTTGGAATGCTTTGATAGCCGGGCATGCTAGGAAATCTGGGACGGAAAAGGCTCTTGAACTTTTCCGAGGGATGCTGAGAGAAGGTTTCAAGCCATCCCATTTCTCTTACTCTAGCCTCTTCGGTGCTTGTTCTGGTACGGGTTTCTTGGAGCAAGGTAAATGGGTGCATGCTTATATGATCAAATCCGGCGAAAAGCTCATAGCTTTCGCCGGAAATACTCTTCTCGACATGTATGCGAAATCGGGAAGTATCCATGATGCAAGAAAAATATTCGACAGGCTAGCTAAAAGGGATGTGGTGTCTTGGAATTCGTTGCTAACTGCTTATGCCCAACACGGGTTCGGGAAAGAAGCTCTCCGCTTGTTTGAGGATATGAAGAGGGTTGGAATTCCTCCCAATGGTATCACATTTCTAGCTGTGCTTATGGCTTGCAGCCATTCTGGTCTTCTAGATGAAGGATGGTATTACTTTGAATCGATGAAGAAACACGGGTTAAGACCCGAGGTCTGGCATTATGTTACAATTGTAGATCTTCTTGGCCGAGCCGGTTTTCTTGATAGGGCGATGGAGTTTATCAGGGAAATGCCATTAGAACCCGCTGCAGCGATCTGGAAATCCCTGCTTAATGCTTGTAGGATGCATAAGAACTCGGAGTTGGGCGCTTATGCCGCCGAGCGTGTGTTTGAGCTTGACCCCGATGATCCCGGTCCCCATGTCATACTATACAACATCTATGCCTCGGCTGGTAGATGGAATGACGCTGCCCGGGTGAGAAAGAAGATGAGAGAAAGCGGGGTTAAGAAGGAACCAGCTTGTAGTTGGGTAGAGATTGAGAATTCGATCCACATGTTTATTGCGAACGACACGGCTCACCCACAAAGGGAAGAGATCCGTCGAAAATGGGAAGAGGTTTATGCAAAGATCAAGGAGTTAGGGTACGAACCCGACACTAGCCAGGTGGTTGTCCATGTGGATCAACAGGAGAGGGAAGCAAATTTGCAATGCCACAGCGAGAAAATCGCATTGGCGTTTGCCCTTCTGAACACGGCTCCCGGATCAACCATCGTGATCAAGAAGAACATCCGGGTTTGTGGGGATTGCCATTCAGCAATCAAGTTGGCATCAATGGCGGTCGGGAGGGAGATCATAGTGAGAGATACAAACAGATATCACCATTTCAAGGACGGCACATGTTCTTGCGGAGATTACTGGTAGTTACAGTAATAGAAGGAGAATCAGTGGCTTTCTGCTCTACAAAATCCTCAAATGGTGAAAAACCATATCAGTTAGTTCTGAAATCAGAGCTTTACATGTCACGTGAAGCCCTAAATTTCTGGAGCTTCACTGCATCCCACAAGGTGCGTGGCAGTTTCGGTATTTGGATCAGGAATGGTTCGGTTTGATTCTTTCGGTTTTATAAAAAATAAATACCAATCATTTATTATATTATATTCGGTTCGAATTTAATTTTTATTAAAAAAAATCTTAAAAAAATTTGGGTTTTTGAGTTTTTTAAATTTTCGTTACGGGAAATTCGATTTTTCTAAAATTAATACCGTTCGAAAATTTTGAACAATTCGTATCGAAAAAAACAATATATTTTTCGATTGGTTAAGATATCAACCAAACCCATGCCCAAAAGGGCTCCTTTCATTTTAGCTAAATAATTCAAAACATATAACATGGAGTCCTGGTGTCCTACTACAATGTATTCGTCATTTTATATTTGATTTCGAATAACAAAACTCAGTACATGGATTAAAAAAACAAAAAAAAAAAACAAAACTCAGTACCTATGTTTGGTACGATTTTTTATATTCTGAAATATTTTACCGGTTATCAGTGAAATTTTATTATGGATATGAATGAGAGTAGTTTTTATTTTGGGTTCTTGACTTTAGTTTTTAGTTTTTGGTTTTTGATTTTTAGGTATTGAATGGTAGGAGCTTTTAGAGTTTTTGGATTTCAAAAAGTGAAAAAACCAACAATCAAGGCTTTGAATAGGGATGAGTTTTATTTTGGATTTTTAGTTTTAGTTTTTGGATTTTGGTTTTTAGTTTTTGATTTTTGGCTTTTAGATTCTATAATATTTAAAAACTAAAAAAAATGTAGTTTTTGATTTTTCTTTGATTTTTCCACTAAAATGGCTTTCCAAGTTTTTAGGAAAAGTAATTTTGTGAAAACTTGAATGATAATTTTTTTTAGTTTTTGGATTCTAAAAACTCTAAAAACTCCAACCATTCAAAGCCCAAGTTCATTTTAATTTAGGCCTTGAATGGTAGGAGTTTTTAGAGTTTTTAGAATCCAAAAACCAAAAAAAAACAACATTCAAGTTTTTACAAAATTACTTTTCCTAAAAACTTGGAAAGCCATTTTAGTGAAAAAATCAATGAAAAACCAAAAACTACTTTTTTTTTTAGTTTTCAAATATTATAAAATTCAAAAGCCAAAAACCAAAAACTAAAAACCAAAATCCAAAAACTAAAACCAAAAACCCAAAATAAAAGTCATCTCCATTCAAAGCCTTAGTTTTTCTATAAATCCGAAAATCTACTTTATGAAAAAATCAACTAAAAACTACTTTTAGATATATAAACTTTTAGAATCCAAAAACCAAAAACCAAAAACCAAAAACCAAAAACTAAAGCCAAAAACCCAAAATAAAAACTAATACCATTCAAAACCTTAGTTTTTGGCTTTTATAGTTTTTACAGTTTTTAGAAAACTTAATTGGTAAAAATAATATTTTAGCTTTTGCTTTTAGATTTTATATTTAAAAATTACCAAAAAGGTATTTATTATTAAAACAAAAATCATATATATACACTATATTTATATTGTTCAAATATGTATATATATATTTGTATTTATAATGTTTCAATATATATATATATAGTCAACATTAATATGTATATCTACATGTATATATATGTATATGTATGTATATATATAACTATAGATATAAGATGACTATAATATATATTTTGAATAATAGATTTTGAATTACATACCTCAAATTTTGTTTTTTTATAAAACATTTTCAAATATGAATGATGGTAAAAATGGTAAGAATATAATCTTTATATAGATATAGATATTTTTAAAATGATGGATATGTTTGTCTTTAAAATAATTTATATAATTATTTTTTAATAAAAAATAAAAAATCTATTAACAAATCTCTAAAATTTACAAAATATTGGTTTTTGACTTTTATGTAGGTTTAAAAAAAAAAGTGGGGTTTTTAGGAAAAGTAAAATAAAAAAACTTGAGGGAAAATTTTTTAGTTTTTTAAACTCTAAAACCCGAGAAAACAAACTCCTTACGGTCAAGGCCTATATCTTCGTGTCTAGGACTTCGAAAGAAAAAAAAAACTCGAATGTTATGTACTCGACACGACCCGCGGTTGGGTTTTCGAAATTTCAGATACCTGCGGAGATAAAGACAGGAGAGCAGTTAATGATATTTAAAAAATCTAAAACTTTTTATTCAGAATGAACACATTTTTTCAGATTCTCATATGTTATAAAAATTATGAAAATTAAAATCTAAAAATAAAAAATAAAACCAAAAAACAAAACAAAAAACTATCACCATTCATAGTTTTAGGTTTTACTTTTTGATTTTGAATTTTGGTATTATTTATAAATCTAAAAAATAAAGCTTTTAATTGATTTTCCGGTTAAATAATTTTCCGAGCTTTTAAAAAATTTAAATTCACAAAATTAAATTATCGATTTTTTTAGTTATTAAAATTTTAAAATACCAAAAAGCTCAACCATTCATCGATTCAACCTCTTTAATTGTGGTTCTAAGACTTAAAACACATATTTTTTTTTTAGTAACAGAAATAAAATAATGAGTTGGGAAGAAACAAAAATAAATATCTAAGATGCTGAAATGTAACTGTTATGAAATTGCGAAACGTGGGACATCATTTTCTTTTAAATTCTCCCCCTCTTGCAGTTACGAGCACTTTTTGGTGGCATGAACCGTAATTTTCAGCACCTCCGAGTCCTTTTTCCTAGTAGTTCGTACTCCTCCCTGATTTTTCTCGGCCTCCAATTTTTTTCTTTCTTCTTCACTGTTTAAACCCAAACCCAGAATCCTTCTCCTGGTAAGCTTTCTCTCTCTCTCTCTCTCTGGTTCTCTTTATATTTTTCATTTTAATGCTTGTTTGGTTTCCGGGAATTTTTTCGAGGATGAAAAAAGCTAACTTTGGAGTTTGCAGCTTCATTGTTCTCGTGTATCTCTCCCTTTTTCCCAAGAAAATTTATTCATTTTCCCAAGAAAATCATCCGAATTCGGATCTGGGTGTTCCTCTCTGAATGTTCTGTGCTGTGTAGAGGTTTTGCTGCCTTTCCCTAATCTGTTCTTATGGTTGTTTTGTCCTGATTCAGATTTGAGCTTGAACCTTTATGTCCGAACAATGTAGCCGGATTGGTTTGGTTAGATAAAAGATTATGCATCTGAGAATCATCATGGTTCTCTCTTCTGATTTTTTTATATTGTATTAATTTGTAGATCTTCCCTTCTTTTTAAATTACTATAGCTTTGATCAGATTTATATTGAACCCTTCTACACTCTGTTTACTGGGTTTCCTCATTTGAAAGATCCAATGTTATTAGATTGTCATCAAGAACAGTGAAGGCTTTATTCTGATGTTCGCTACTTCTGTTCTTGTTCTGTGTATCTTCTCGTAATTTAAAGTCCTTTCTTGATCATCTATATGTGCAGGTGAGTGTATCCTTTGCCTTGGGAAAGCAAGAGGAAAGTTAGGTTTCTTTTTGGGTTATTACATGCTCTGGAAACAAGACTTGTCCAAACGACCGCATAAAGCTCTGAGCTTTCAGGGATCTGACAATGGGGAAGGCCATCGCTAAGGGTTCGAAGAACGTGAAACCCGACTGTACATTTTCCCGAATACGACTGGTGAGAGGTGTGATATGTTTGTTGGTGCTATTCTCGACCGCTCTTACGATGTTGATTTTCTGCGGGTTCCCTACCGGCGTAGCGTTGCGACTTTTTAGCGTACACTACAGCCGGAGGACCCTTTCGTTCTTCTTCGGTTCATGGCTTGCATTGTGGCCATTCCTCTTCGAGAAGATCAACGGAACTAAGGTAGTGTTTTCGGGCGATAGAGTTCCTCCCGAGGAACGAGTATTGCTCATAGCAAACCACCGCACGGAGGTTGATTGGATGTACTTTTGGGATCTTGCATTGCGTAAAGGACGGGTCGGGGACATTAAATACATTCTCAAGAGCAGTTTGATGAAACTGCCAGTGTTTGGTTGGGCTTTCCACCTCTTGGAGTTTATTCCGGTCGAGAGGAAATGGGAGATCGATGAAGTCAAAATCCGGCGGATACTTTCAACTCTAAGGGATCCTCGAGACCCTCTTTGGCTCGCTCTTTTCCCCGAGGGCACGGATTACACGTAACTTCCTCTTTCTTTTATACTTCCAGCCTCAACTTCTTGTCAGGGGTTGGAGTTTAAACCCGAGACCCACGGGTTTCCAAGTGTCCGGTCTCACGGATATCGGGGATGCATGCACCCGATGCCGAAGACGGGTGCAACGGGGGTAGGAACCCAGACTGCGGGTTCAGGTTTTTCCGAGCCACGGCAGGTTGCCGATGGCATCGGGTAGGAGTAAATTGACGTTTATAGTATGATATTTTAGTGTATTTACAATGATACCAAGATAGATTTTCGTGTAAAATTACCAATATACCTTTATACAGGGAGTACAGATTCTGTATTGAACATGAAACTTTATACAGGGAGGCCAAATGTGAACGGAGTAGGAAGTTTGCCGCCGAAAATGGATTCCCGGTGCTAAACAACGTCCTGCTTCCGAAAACGAAAGGTTTCATCTCGTGCTTAACAGAATTGAGAAGCTCGCTTGATGCAGGTTAGTTTCGATTCCCGCCCTTGTAGCTGGAAATTCTGATAAATCCGATTTCCTCACTAACAGATTCCTCTTGATGAAAACACGCAGTCTATGATGTAACCATAGGGTACAAAACCCGCTGCCCGTCTTTCCTCGACAATGTATATGGTGTCGAACCTTCAGAGGTTCACATTCACATCCGTCGCATCATTCCCAATCACATCCCAACCGAAGAAAAGGGAATCTCGGCTTGGTTAATCGAAGCTTTCGAATTCAAAGACCGACTTCTCGGTGAATTCTACTCCAAGGGTAATTTCCCGAATGAAGGAGGTACGGAAACAGACCTTTCCTCGGACAGGAACCTCATGAACTGTTTGGCAGTGATCATCTTCACGGTCACATGCACTTATCTTACACTCTTCGGCTCGGTCTGGTTCAAAATTTACGTGTCTTTGGTCTGTGCCTACATGACTTCGGCAACACGTTTCGATCTTCGCCCTCTACCACTTGTCGAGGCTGTGAAAACAATGTTTCGAATCCGAAAATCGTAAAATCGTGATCGGAATATGGTTTTGATGTTGTGGTAAGTTAATGTTATATTCAAACATTAATCAAGTAAATGTACTTAGTTTATGTTATTGTCTCTTTTGAGCTCTTACTTCAAATCTTACAGTGTAAGAGATTGAGTAATGAAACCCTAAGGGAAAAAAAAAGTTTTTGTTTTAAGTTGGTTCGAAAGTGTATTCATGTTTCAGTGTTTCAGATCTTGCTTTTTTACTTCGAAGGAAGATGAAAACAATATATTGGTAAGGTTATTAACAACTATATGTTTAAACAATCCAAAATATGCAATTATTATTATTATTATTATTATTATTATTATTATTATTATTATTATTATTATTATTATTATTATTATTATTATTATTATTATTATTATTATTATTATTATTATTATTATTATTATTATTATTATTATTATTATTATTATTATTATTATTATTATTATTATTATTTGTTATCCGTGATGTTTATTTCTGTTGTGATTATATAAAACCGATTTTGTAAACTCTGTGTTTAGGATTTTAGTTAAATTAAATAATTGAATACGAAAATAACAAAAAAATGAAAATGAAAATTTCATTACAAAATTATTTTTCTGTAAACTAATTGAATATAAACTGAAATTTTATTAGAATTAGAAATAAAATCGATTAACACAAAATAAAAGCGAAATGTCGGGTTTAATGGATGAAGTTTTCTTAGTTTTTATAATTCAAAAAACTAAAAAAATTGATAATCAAAATTTTGAAGATGGGGTTGAATGGAGAGATTAGGAGTTAGAATCTAAAAAACAAAAAAAAAATGATAATCAAAATTTTGAAAATTTATGAGTTGAAACTTGAAGGATAAAGTTTTCAGAGTTTTGAAAATATAAAAACTAAAAAAAATTGATAATCAAACTTTTATAAATTTGATTTTTCTAAAAAAAAATTGAAAAACTATATTAGTGAAAAAAAATTAACGAAAACAAAAAAAAAAATCATTTTCTAGATTTACAAATATTATAAAAACCAAAAACTAAAAATTTAGAACAAAAAATCAAAAATGAAAACCTAAGAACTCAAAATAAAAACTATCATCATTTAACTCATAGTTTTAATACTATAAAAAACTAAAACAAAAAATCAAAAATTAAATATAAAAACTCGAAATAAAAAGAGGATATATCCAAAATATCTTTTATCTGCTACATTGACTTCTCTCTATACCCTTCAAATTTTAAATTAAGAAAAAAAATGATTGAACATTAAAAAAGTCAGATAAACCATCAGATAAATATATAAAGACAAAAAAGTCCTCCTTCTGAATTTAAAAAATTAAAAAAAAAAATTATTTTATCTTCTATCTCCTAGCTCAATCCACGTTCCTCTCTCACTCATAACTCACAGTATCTCTTCTCTCTTCCTTTCAAAACCGTCGATTTCTTGCAGATTTAAGTCTGATTTCTCTGCAGAATCTCCCTTTCTTTAACTCTTTTAAGATTCAAAGAAGAAGAAGCGGAGAAGACAACAATTTTAACCCAATAATCATCTTCATCGGCATCTTTGACCAAGACCAAAAACCAAATGCAAATTGCAGAGTTAGACGAACACGTGGTAGGTTACTTCTCTTTTTGTGAGATTTGTTGGATTTTGGAAATCTTTGATGTTGAATTGAAGTATTAGGGTTAGGATTTGACGGATAGAAACTTGAGGTTGCGTTTTTAAAATTTCTGGGATTTAAAAATAGATTTTGGATTTAAAATTAACTAATCGAGTAAAATTTCGAGTTAATTTGGGTCACATGGATGTATGGATATCACATGGTCACATGATCAATTATATGTTGATTTAGATCACATAATTGTACGGTCACAAGGTGAAAATATCACAGTTCATAGGATGATTTAGGTCACGCGTGATAATACGTCACAGAGTGAATTATGTCACATGGTCACAGATCACAAGGTCACAGGACAATAGGTGGCATGGTCACAAGTGACTTGGTTACATGGTCTCAGGTCACATGATGTCATCAATTTGTTTTGTTTTGCAGTTGCCTTTTATATATAAAATAAACAAGATTGACATTAAATCAAAGGTACACACTAAAAGACATGGTCACTTGGTCACAGATTGACATGGTCACATGGTACCATATTAACATGGTCACATGGTACCATGCTCACATGGTCACATGAGACCATATTGGTATGGTCACATGGTACCATGTTCACATGGTCACATGGTGTCATGGTACCGTGGTATCATGGTACCATCTATTTTCATGGAATTAAGAGTATACTAAAGAAGGAAGTGTCTGATGAAGCTCTTCTTTTTTATTTGGAGGAATTGACGTCATCGAGTTCATGACTTGGAAATTCGTTCGACAAAGTCTTCCAAAAAGAAGAAGAAGGGAAAAAGTCTGATAAATGAAGAAGAAGTAGAAGATGAGCGAGGAAAAGAAGACGAAGAACAACAAGGACAAGAATAAGATGGACAAGAAGAACAACAATTATATGTGATGACAATGTCACCAAGATGCGTGAGCAGTTGACAGCCGCCATATTTGTCAATAGAAATGTTCAAAAGTAGAATTAAGAACTTATTTATGTTATGAACTTATTATTTCTTTTTGTTATGATATTTTGTTTGTTTATTATAAACATACATAATTTTATGTTATGATATGAGGTGAAAAATATTGGAAGGTAAAAAATTTGGTTTGAAAAATTTTGAAGAGAAAAAAATTTGGGTTAAAAAATTTTGGAGGGAAAAAATGGGTTAAAAAATTTTGGAGGGTAAAAAATAGGGGTAATCGCATAAAAATACCCGAACTTTTATAAAAATCCCAAATAAATACCCGAACTATAAAATTGTCATATAAATACCTGAATTTTTCAAAACTCCCACATAAATATCCAAACTTTTAAATTTTTTTCAAATCAAACAAACGCAACTGCTGACTCAGCAAAAAACTGTTGACTCAGAAAAAAAAACTGTTGACTCAGCATTCAAAAATATTATTAGATATTCAAATATTCATCTCTATGTATTTAAATTAATATATACATATAAATTCACATATATATAT